ACAATTAAATTTAGAATGGTTTGGTAAACTATATCAGTTACACTGATTGAATTTCAAAGATATGTATGTTATTTATATGTTGTGAATATTTGTATTATATGTTTAGGTATGTATATTTCTAAACATACCGATACAAATACATAAATATATTTTTTTCGTAAATACATACATATTATATGTATAGAAAATATCCAGACCAACACAAACAATCGTAGTTATGAATACTAACGTTTGTGTCGTGTGAATAATCGAACTCGCGACCATCGGAAGTAAGGCGATGTGCTAAACCGTGCTAAAAATTACATATCATAATATCACATTAATACATTTTTAGCTAACACGGTGAATAGGTATCATATGTATTACGACCTCATCAATAATTACAATCGATCACAGAAACAACATATTGTCTACGTTTTGATCAGTATAATTTCTCCAATAGTTTTCTATTTCAACTTACTTATGAAACTTACTAATGTTCATTTTAATATTAATGCATGTTGCGAATAAAACGATCGACAATACAAAGGAAAATATATATCTTATTGTAACATGATTATTTGAAAATATAAATTCCGTTTTGATACTATATAGTTTTTCCTTGTATTTATTTATTTATTCTTTCTCTAATATTACATCTGTTTTCTCTGTCTGTGTTTGTCTACATTACGTATCTACTACGATATCTCTATTTTCATGGAAAATCATAGTCTTATCTGCCTGTTTCTTCTACCAATTTTGTAAAAAGAGAAAATCGTTAATGAAATGGGTGAACGACAACCTAACTTTTAGGAGGAGAGAGGATTGTTATTGATGTGGAATAAGATGTTCAGTTCTAGCATTATACCATGTCAGATAGACTTCCACGCAGTCCTTTCTAAAAGCCATCGTTGTTATTAATGTTTAATTCACCAGGAAGGACTAATTGACCTAATTTCATGCACCTTTTATCACCTCCACTACCGCTAGTGCAAGTCTTTGCATCCCACTATTAACAGTGAAAATCTATGAGGTCTACAATATAATATATTATAATAAGCCATTTATTCTGAAATTTACAAATTTTTAACTATAGTATACAAATTCTTTTTTTTTTATAATATGTCTCTAATTTCAGTGTGCCTTTTGGCATAGGCCTCCTCCAGCGACTTCCATTGACTCCTATCCTGTGCAACTCTTCTCCATTTTGTGCCCACAGTTGACTTCAACTCGTCTTCCCATTTCATCATCTGCCTTCCCTCTTTCTCTTTCCTTCTCTAGGATACCACTCTGTTATTTTTCTACTCCATTTTTCCCTAGTATCTCGCATCATGTGGCCAGTCCATCGCCACTTCTGCTGGTCTATTTTTGACAATATATACAATATTATACTGCCTATAAAATTAATTCAAATTTATACATTCTCAATCCAATGCCCGATAACTAAATATCAATTGCGATGTTTCCTGTTAATCCGCTGCAGGCGTACTACTGTCGATTCAAATTTGGTTTTGTGTTATTTGCTTATTTGAACCATCAGACGTGATTTCCAAATGAATCGTGGTTAACGGAATGAAACAATTAACATGCAATCTACACGCATCCACTGAGCCTTCACAAAGGAATTACATTTTCCATCAACGATAGTTGCGATTATAGTGAAATTGACAGCAAAATTTATTGTTTAATTAGTGTTTTAGGCGCTTAAGGGCTTATTGTAATATAGCAGGTATAGATTTAATTTAATTTAATACTAATAATGCTTGTTTGTAATCCGAGAGGAGATTAACAGAGGCATTGTCAACAGTTGTCGCTGGTACGGACGCAAGATTTAACATGCCAATAAAGAAATATAATTCTATATCACTAACTCCATTGAGTTTGGGTAGAATTTATATGTATTTACACATATATATACTTCTCCACGTGACTTATATAGTCACTTATATAAGAACAAAATACTAGATCAATAAAATGCTACTTTTTCATGTCAATAAACTAACTATAAATAACTATAAAAATCATAGACCAATAAAATATACATGAAATAGTTTGCAAGTTTAACTTTTTTACAGGACGTATTGACATATATTTTATTCTCATTCTCAATAGAATATAATATTGACACAAACATGATTTTATACAGAAAAATGCAGAAATATGAAACGGTTACATTTCCTGTCGTATAGCTTCAAAGACTTGCTTGCCTCAAAAGATTAATGCAAATACCACGTACCACACTAGCGAGTATTTTCTTATTTATAAAGCTTTCCTCTTTTGTCACTGGAGCACCTCAAGCTTCTTACAGTTGTAAGAAAATTCCTTTCATATTGTGCTGTATGTTTAATGTTTGAAATATTAATGCTTGTACCGTTAGTTCACTCAAGTCATCTTTAGACAAGGTACAGATTACGTTGTGACATCTGTAATAACCTGTGGTACTTGTGTACGCGTAGATCTTTATGGCACACTAGTTTTACTCACGATTTTATCTATCTGTATTTTATATGAGAACAATAATAAGTACAATGTAAAAGTATAAAGTGTAAGTAAAATTCGTCGCTGCGTGAACAAACTCACTTTTAAATTTGAGATTAGTACGGAATATATGAAGCATACTTTGTTAAATCAAGTAAATTAAGAAAATATACAGTATTAAACTATGTACAAATATGTAGATCTTAAAAGAGTAACATTTAGGTTTCTTGTTTTTTAGTTTTCAACCGATACTACGCTCCAATTTGATGGATTGTCTGTAATAGACCAACTATGATTCTTTTTCCAGATTTATAAAGTTGTCTACATTTTTATAAAATAACTGCATCTATGATGTTATCGAAGATTTTTCGTTCCACAAACTTTTCGAATTTTACAGTCTATTGCAATATTCAAACGCGTTTGTTGCAACACTTACCATAAATTGCAGAGTTGAACGAGCTACGATGTTGCAACATAAACTCATCATCCCACAATCTTTAGTGAAATAGCATAGACACAGATACCATAATTCTTTCCGTACCTATCTAATCTCGTCATATTTTAAGCGAGGCAAAGGTGACTCGCTTAAAATATGCACTTTACGACCGAAACTCTTGAATTTTTATCTGCATATATTTTAAATAGTACATTCAAAACAAATTGCAATATGTGGACGTGAAAAGAAAATATATTCGCGAAAAGAATTTGAATAAGCTTTTACTTTAAATTATTTTTTATATGAAAAAAATATTTATAGATTAGTTTTTAAATGATTAGTTATTTATACGTGTATTAATACTAATGCACTTTTTTAGGATTGTCTTAGATGTACTTATATGTTTATATATTGTGACAATAATTGTTATTTGTGATTTGATTCGAATGTTAATTTAAATCACTACCTCACGTTTGATTTACGATAATATATTATGTATTTTAAAGTATAAGAGCGGCCTATGTCTTAAGTACTAATTCGATTTGGTTCTTACGGCACGCTAACTCAAAAAAGTCTCCGATAATCCTAAGGCGCTACCATACCTCATTCTACACATGATTTATAATATTATGAAATTTGGGAGCATTTTACTGCAACCTCAAGTAATGTGTGTGATTATACGGTCTAAGCTATTACACGCAAACTAAAAAAATACTTATAAAGTCTTGACTTTGAATTCTTATTTCTTTTTGTACGCTGCGAGGATAATGCGTTTATGCAGTTCCTAAGCATATTTAACCTATAGAATATCAATAGATAAGCCCTTTAGTTACAAGTCAATGGCTAAGACCATGAATCCTGTTACCTACAAGTGATCTCCCAAGTGCTAATCCCCGATGAGTTTCATAGAACGCTTGTCAAACAGGTCTAAAGCATCAAGTTGGTAGTGTAATACATATTCACTATACAGAATTTAATAAATGCCCATGACCCTCACAAAACTATCAACGAATCTCTATATATTTTCCTTATAATAACTTATGGAGGTATATTTTCTTAACAACAGGAACAACAGTCGTATTTTGCGTTCAGTCGTCGAAACACAATACATGTAAAAGTGTATTGAACGAATAGAAGTCCTTTAAAAGCGATACACGTAAGTTATTGTAAGGTTGCGACAATAACGATATTGAACAAGCAATATTGAATCTAAGTAGAGTATAAGAGGCTTCAATTTGGCTTCATAACGGTAGAATGTAAACATATTTCCTTACATAATCATATATTTAAAATGTGTTCTACGATTTATTGGATGGTGTAGTTTGTACGTTTACTTTCTCAAGTTGCATAATGGTACCTTTGGGACGTCGGTGTAGGTACTACTTAGTGCTAACTGGAGCGTTCGACATATGGTGACAAACATAAGTACACAGCCATTGTTCACATAACAAGAAAATCGAGTATTTTTATATCTACAAGTGAAAGCAACGTTGAATAGAAACTGATTGGACATTATTATTTTACGAGCGTTCAAGCGTTGTTCAAGAAACATTTTATATTTGATCTATTGTATACGAAATACTAATAATGTATTTACCATGATTATAACTAAACGTGGTTTACAGTAGTCCTATGCACAGATACAAAAATTTGCGAGTAACACTTTTCGGTGACTAATTATCCTATATTAGATACGTAGGTATATATTTTTGTATTCTTTTTGTTACATTTGTACATACATACGTACCTATATCACAGCTTATATTATTATAGAAACAGAAGTAATTGTGATATTCTAAGTATACCTCAAATATAAGGTCATATTAATCAAATAAAACAATAATTATGCCTATAAAAGTTTTGATATACTGCTATCTAGTCCTAAAATAAGGATATGTTATACCATGGGTACTAGATATTAACTAAAATTGTCTTACTTTATTATTTAAATAATATGCATAGAAAATGATTTAGATACACTAGCATAGAATACCATTATAACGTGAAGGGAACGTACCCCTGATCATCGTAAAATAGCGATGTGTCAAACAACTAAAACAGCGAAGTTGTCGACATTATATTAGAAGTGTATAAGGTAGGTACTTACGTATTCAACTTCAGTGGATAATTGAGTCTGAAGAATGTCTGCCCATGTACAGCCAGACTGAAGTAACTCGCTTCATTGGTGTTGGAGATCCAGGCTGCTATCTCTTTTGGGCTGTTAGGTACTGCGGAAGAAAGACATATCATTCGATTAAAAGAAAAGGAAAATAGTTTATTATTTTTAAAACTTATGTTCATTTATACATTAATTGTTATAATTATGTCGTACTTCATTATTTAAATATAATTCTAGTTATGTCCGCGGTTTCACCCGCGTGAAATTTATATCCTGTATGTTTTTCTGATGTATAAACTACATTACTGTAGAGTTTCATCAAAATCCGTATAGTAGTTTTGGGTGAAAGAGTAACAAACTTCCATACTTACAAACTTTCACGTTTATAATATTATTAAGATGAAGTAATATACACACATATAAATATAATAATGATATATACAAACGAGCGGACTTAGAAGACACCCTGCAAAGAAACGCACTTCTACCTGATAGGTCCAAAATCCAAACTCATTACAATATCCACATAAAATTTATTCCAAATCAGTCCAACCATTTTTGAGAAGTTAGTACCAAACACACTTACAAATAATATCACACATGTATTATAATATATTGATTATTTTAAAATAAAAACCGTTAATTTTTAAAATAACTATTTTAATAATTTCGTATTTAGTATACATTATTTATATCGGTAACCGGGTCTTAACGGCCCTTGTACAGTGTTCTATAATCAAACTACGAGTCTAGTTATTTTATGAGTACAAATAGAGAAAAACTACCCCTTAGTAATTACGTTAGCCCCCTTAGCCTTGTACGTATCTAATTACATTATAACGAGATACAATAGATGCTCATCTAAATCAATACTAATATAAACCAACGTATTTTCTCATATATGGGACAATAAAATTACATTTATATTAAAACACACTGTTAGGATACAATGGGAGATTCAAACTGTCATACCATCACTTTTAGAGCCTAACATCTATTACAAAACATGTTTAATAACATACAATTAGTATCACTTTGTTTTCAGTCAAAGAAAATTAATTGATAAGTATAAAAACAATACAGTTAAGCACTTAACTCGTCGGTCAATCGGCTTTATAGTTAATAATAATAATAATCTCCCTAGATAATTCACATTGTGTTCTGGTTATTAGACAACTGATATAAATACATAGATATTTTTTTGGTAAATACATACGTGATATACATAGAAAATACCCAGACCGAATCAACAATCATACTCATGAATACAAATGTTTGTACCGTGCGAGGAATCGAACCCGCGACAATCTGATGTAAAGTTATGAAACGGTTTATTCATCACTTATCTTTCACAATTGGTAAAGATATATTGTTGTAAATTCATTTATGTATCTACACGTCTATATTTTGAATCCGCTTGACAATAAGGTACCAGTTTCACGAACGTTTAAAATAAATAGCGTCATTGAACTGATTGTGGTTAGGTATTTCGGCAGAATACGCGCAGACAAGTTTGCAACAACGCTTTATCACTTACACCTTACAAGTAGTTGAAAAATTTATAACCAACTTTACTACGAAGCCAGCTCTCAATGTATTTTTTTGTTTACTAACTTCGATGAGTCCTCTTATATTGGAAAGGCTATGAATCTTATTATTAATATATTATATATGATAATCGGATCTTACCACCAATAATTTTATGGTCTGGCTTTTAGTTTTATTCCTGTTGGTATTTAATAAATAAATGTATATAATACAGTATTCTGTAAGAGAAGCACGGTAAAATTAGAGATATTGTATGAATTGTGAAATTAAATGAACTCATCAACTTGCTAATTGCATTGCACTCTATTCGTAATATTCTTGCTATCTCCAAGATTTTCCAAGCTAATTAATGCCAGCTACGCCGTGGCAGTAAATATGAATGTTATATTTAGTTATTATTCCGAGTCTATTTCAACGAAAGCAAATTTGGCTTTATTACCGCAAAGCCTGAAGAAAACTTGTCTGTAAGAAATTGAACTTTGTAGTTGGGTAAATAAAGTTTATATTTGCCGCTGAATATACTTGTAAGTAATAAATAACAGCTTAAAAGGCAAATAAATCGCGGCAGATTTAGCTTGTTTCCCTCGTCGTAACAAATGTCAATCACGTTAAAGATTTGTCATGCTGGCGACAGAGAAGCGATATTTGCTTTTATTATTTTTGTATCCTGTAAACGGTGGTATTACTAGTGTGAATATTAAGCAATAAACTATTTTTATTGTTGAGTTATTGGTAATACTAGTTATTTTGATATAATATTTGATATGATGGTATAAAAATTACAATTTCAAGATAACACACACTACATTCAAGATAACACTTGATATTTTTAATGAGACAAGCCGGAATAGTAATATATAATCACCAGAGAACGAGGGTAGGTACAATGTTTTAAAAATGGGCGAATTTGAGTGATTGCAAAAGCAATTACATAGCATTTTATAGTATTCATTAAAATTCCGAGGAGAAAACGTGCTGACATAGGTCGTCGAAGTCAACCGAAATTAATTAGAGTTTAAAGGTTGATTTGCTTTGATAAATTGCAGATCAAAAGTTGTAATAAAATATATTGTAGCTGAAACAAAGATCATCGCGGGTCATCTAGTTATTTATAAATTTTATTAAGAATAACCGGGGACTATTCTCAAACTAAACAGTGCTTGTACATACTAAAATACTGAATTATTGTTTATAATATATAAGTAAATTATGTATATACATAATATACAATTTTAAACATCCAGACGAGTGTAAATGACCATGTCCACTCAAGAATAAATATTTGTATTATGCGAGAATCTAACCTAAAAATCGATGTGTTAAACATCAGAACACCGTGGGCAACAAATCAAAATTTAAAATATTATATCAACTTTACAGAAGTCACATAACTTATTCCAATGCTCCAAGATCTCATTAGCCTTGAATATATTATACTTAAACAGTAAATCAGGCGCGGCTGTCTCGCAAATTGTCTTTGTACGGTCCTAGATCCAAAATTGGAACATTTAAATCTCTTGGCTCGTTATAACTAAAAGATTTTCACAGTTCGCTAACGAGATCAACTGCTTTTTATGGTATTTTACTGTATATGTTCACATGAACATGTATTTTCATTAGAGGTCTGACACTTTTATAAGATTATATTTTCCATTTAGTACTCCACACACGTCTAGGTAAAGTTTAGTTCATATTGGTGCTAAGCATATTAATAATATAGTGAACTATAAAAATGACAATTGTGTGAGGACTTATCTTACACGACGTTCATGTAATGTCTCAAAAAGAGGACAGGTTTCATTTGGTGAACAATTTGGTTTTATTTGACGAACGACCTCAAAAAAATTTTAAGTGTCGCGTAAATATAAATATTTACTGTTTTATACTGTGCCGGTAGTAACTTAGTTAATTAAATTATACGTTACAGTTTGTTGCATGCAGTGTAATTGAGTTAAAATTCAGGGAAAATATGCATTGGGCTTGAAAAAGGAAAGCTTCCAACCAGTATTTTTTATTTTATACCACTTCATCAGATTGTGAACCTATTTTAAACAACTTTCCTTTAATTAAAAGCTTTTATGTCATCGACAAAAATGAATGAGTTCTATTGTAATGGGCAGAGTTTATTCCATATGTTTTTATTCGATATGTACTTCTGGTATTTTTCATTTTATATTGTGTTAACCTTTTTTTAAAACCTACAATCTCTCGATGAGGAGGTCATAGTGAAAATGAATGATAAATTAAGAGGCTTGTGAGTTTTTTTAGGAAAATAGAAGTGAAAATAATAATCAACTGACTAATAATGCGAAAATACAACAGAACTTTAAAAAATAGCTTAGTTATAACTAGCACGAGCATACTTAAACGTTTCCTAATATATAGTAAGGATGAAATTTTTATAATTTGTTTTTAATGTGAAGACCAAAAAAATATTCAAACAAAAATTAAAAATCGTTTCTTCTATGTAAAGAAGACTCGATAAGGAAGCAGTGACATTCCTACAATAATGATTTAGTTCACAATTATGATGCTTACCAGAGTTATTTATTTTACTGTAAAAAATCATCTGCGTGGACACCTCAGTCTCACCTATTTCAGTTGCTAAGCAGCTTGCTTTGTAAGCTGTTTCGGTAGTAAGGAGAAGTAGGAAGGTAGGCAGAGAAGAATAATTACGCAGTACAATTAATCGATAAGTGGTCTTCTGGAATGGTAACGCATGAGTGGTACCGACTACGGATGTCATGTTCATAGTGCTGTTCATATATATAAAAGATGACGGTTACCGCTAACCATCAGGCCAGGACTGTCAGGTTGTTTATCAATCTAATTACATAAAAAATATATATTTGCAATGAAAGGTTAAATGACTGGACCATTTTGTAAACTAGTTTATCAAATGGTAGACAGTAAAGTTCAGGCATTTAATTTGGTAAACTACAGAATGGACTGTTATAAAAAACTGATACATAATTCCTATTTAATGGACCAATTTACGACGAAATTTTCATGCAAAATTACGTAATGAGGTGAACTGGTTTCGTATGCTTTGAATATTCGAAACCAGTTATAAAATTTCAGCACAATTGTGGTCGGCGTGTGTTGAATGAAACACACGTTTAAAAAACAAAAAATAATTATACATGTTTTCGTTTAGGTGCTGGGTTTATGAAAATAGTATAATAATATTTATTTAAGCAGCTTCCTTAGAGCTTAATGGCTTTTTAATCGCAGCGTCGTTGAACAGTGTTTATACTTACTGCTATGATAGCTTATTTAAAGGGGTTAAAAATGTAATTTCTCTCCATTATTATTATACTTTAATAGAACTTTTTGTTATTTCGTAAGTTTTTCATTAACTTGACTTTATGAGTAAGAAACGCAACGAAGATATATTCATTAAGATTTTGTGGTCGATATTAAAATATTTTGACCGCCGCGGTGGTCAAGCGGCTTATATTACTCGTTTAATTCAAATGGTCGCAGGTTTAAATCATAACCTAGTACAAATATTTGTATTCACAAGTATTGTTTAACATAACGTCAATGACAAAGTGTAAGTAATGGAGTAAGTAATAAATGCTCATTTATTACTTACTTATGAGTACACATAACGATATATGACAAGTATAATTAACGATATTTAATAAAAATATTTCTTTTAATATAAGTATGTTTATCGAGGTTCTAATTTATTGAGCACTGCTTTTCATTGAATCTTTATTATTAATATTGAAATATTATCAATTCTCTTTCTGATGCATTAATATCTGGAGCAACTCAAACGTTAAAAATGCCTCAGTGCACTTGCAATAATATTCACTCAACAAGCAGGCAAATGCGACTCACTGAGTACTTTAAACGATCTTTGATTCGATACTTGTAGTTCTGAACGTGAAGCGTAGAATCAAGTTGAACGGGCCGATCTAATTAGTTCCGAATACGATGTTCTGTAACTCGAAATCACATCATTCACAGTTCACTGGGTCTTCACTTCAGTAGCGTAGGCTACGAAATTACGGCACCTATTAGAATGGTACATTAAATGACAGGCTCCCCTTTGCCGTCGCGAATCCATAATAGCATTACTCATTATAACATTAAGAGGAATATAATAGCAATATCTAACTTGTGCGAAACAAAATTGTTGTCGCATCTATCTGTTTTATCAAGTCCGCTATCGTATGAAAATATAATACGGTTTTCATTGGCGTTTAGATTTTCGTAGAATATTTGCATCTGTACAATTTATTGTAATCTTTACATTGTATAAAATAGAGACGACGCAGCTGCCTACTAGCTGTCTTTTAAATTACGCAACGGATTTTAATTCAGTTTTCAGCAATAGATGGAGTGATTCAAGAGGAAGGTTTATTCGTATAATACATGCGTATTACAGTATCGAACAAGCCGAGAAGTTTAAACATTCGCATCCGTGCGAAGCCAGGACTGATCGCTAGTACTAGATATATATAATACGCATTGTTCTTGTAATGCTAGCAAAATCAGCAGATAGTATAAAATTTACTGCCACATATTGTATGTTTACAGTGGACTTGAAAATAATAAGATGTATAAATTTTAATTTAAAAAACTTTATTACGTACCTACAAAGGAAGAAATGTAATACAAATATTCTTTGTATACAATCATGAAAAGAGTTAATTAAATACAGAAACATTATTTATTCTTATAGACTTAGTATTACACCGTATTTCGTTTTGAAATGTTATTTCCCTTGCAAAATAAATTCGTAACAAACTGTGTAGTTCTCTTTTCCAATAATTGTACAATATTTAAAATTAATAAGTCGACATTAATTAATATGTTATTTAAATTGAAATTTTGCAATATGATTATGAATATGTGTGTTCAGTTAAACCTTACTGTAAAATAGAGTATTAATTACTATTTCAGATATTAAGTGAGCGTTCATAATTTAAATGATGAAATTTAAACTATATTTCCAGTTATTAGTAAATACGAGTATCACGTATTAATATGTTTTCATATTGCAAACTTTGTAGAGTGCAGTAGAGAGATCTTATGAACGAGTTCGAGGTGCTGTAGAGCATACACGTTTGTAATTGAAGTGTTATTGGTAATAGCGTTTGCAGCGAATTTAACGTCCGGTCCAGTTCAAGAGCGTGGAGTGGTTCACTCAAATTGAAATGTTGGAATTAAACCGAATACTCAAATAGTTTGCATAAACGAACGATATTACAAAAAATAGACGTAGGTCAAATAACTAAATGGAAATATTGAGATGTGTTATTTTAACAATTTATAATTTTATTTCAAAACTATTACGAATTACGATCTAAGTCTCTTGTCAATTCGCAGAATTGATGAACATAGATAACACACTTACTACATTCTGAACTGACAGTAGATTAGACTTATAGGAATGGAGCTAATACATGAAGATGTTATTTTAGTTTTTATTTATTCATTAGATGATTATCTATCTATTATACTAGATTTTGTTCAAATCCTTTGTTTTGCAATTGGACGAAACATTAAAAGAATTTGCGTAAATTTCAAAGGAATTGATCGATATAACATAGTCTTATAATAATATTAGCTGTATTAATAATTTTAGATAAGTAGGTACTAATGGGACTAAATTAGTGAGATAATTTGTTCCTCGCGATTAATTACATTATATTAATAAATACTTGTAGATGAATTTGACAGTTACGTTTCGAATTGTTTTATAGAAGTGTTTATCGAAAGTTTGTGAGTATGGATTATTGTTTGTTACACTTTCACGAAAAAATTACTGAACAGATTGTGATTAAAATTTACAGTAATATGCCTTATACATCACAATAAAATATATACTATAAATTTCAAGCTAGACAAACTCATTCGGTTAAAATATTGTACCTTCATAATTTTTTATTTTCTACACTCCTGTTCCACATTAACTCCAATTATGGTAATCTATACTCCTCTGTTAGAGCTATAAAAATATCTTTGTATTTTATTAATAAAAATACTCCAAATTTTTTTATTAAAAAATAGTAGGTATCTATTTTTAATATCGCGCGCGCTGGTACCTGATTTTATGTATATGTATGTTTATGATGAGATAAAAGATTCGCCTTTCATTACGAGATGAGAGCAAAGAAAAAGGCACCAGTATAGTTGCATATATTTTTAGTGTCTGATATAAAACAATACAGTAATAGTTTGATGACCTCGGTGGTCTAGCGGTCTAGCACACCGCTTTACGACCGATGGTCGCGGGTTCGATTCCTCGCACGGCACAAATTTTTGTATTCATGAGTATAATTGTTTGTATCGGTCTGGGTGTTTTCTATGTATAATATGTATGTATTTACAAAAAAAATATATCTATGTATATATATCAGTTGTCTAATACCCATAACACAAGCTTTAGATAGCTTAACTTGGGTCTAGATGGAGCTGTGTGAATTGTCTTGAGATTATTATTATTAAAGTTACTATAAAAAAACATGGGCAATAATAAATACATATAGAACAGTTTGTAACAGTATGTGTTTGTATTATTTAAATATGCAGACAAAAATATAAATTTAGTTAGATTGTACCATCTACCGCATATTTCCATTGATTAATCCAATAAGCACATCAGTATGTCGGAATCTAGCAGGTGCCATATTGCGCTTCAGCGGCAATACAATATACGAATGTGGTTGATATAATGCTTGAACGCCTAACTGCATAGCTTCAATCCGATTTGACGCCTTAGATTTCTGAGAACTCCGACTATGTAATATCTAATATCAGTCGTCTCAATATCGAAGTATATCGTATCAATATATTATTATATTTACTTTATATAGTATTATTTAAAATAAAATGTAAGTAATGATAATTAATCCACACGCCATCTAGTCACAAGCTATGTAAGCAGAGCTGGTGTTATGGATACTAGACATACATACATAACATACATAGAAAACACTCAGACCAATAAAAACAATTACTGATGAATACAAATGTTTGTACCATGAGAGGAATCGAACCCGTGATTATTAGTAGTAAAGCCGTGAGCTAAATCGCTAGACCACGCAGATCTTTGAAGGCGAGGCGGACCAGAAATTAAAGTGTAATTATAATATTTTGCTTACTTGAAAATTTCGTTGGCATAAGAGTCTGTAATATACTTACCTGAATATAGATATTTCAATTTGATTATTATTAAATAATGAAATAGAGGCCAGGATTGCCATTTCACATAGAATTTCGTTCAAAGGATTTCTCTAGTAATTCCACGCGGAAATTATGCTAGCAGAACTTTAGGGCCGGATACGCTATGGGACGATTTTGATTAATAATTTTCCTGTCGTTTAATTATGTTCATATAATTATATAAATAATTTAATTGTGTTTATATTTATATTTAGAAATTACTACCAAGTATTCAAATTTTGGAACTTGCAGAGTTTGATTTGAATACGAGTGTACTGATAATACTTTTTGTAAAACTCATCATAATTTTACAAGTGTATACGGTAATTTTTTGAAACTTACTGTGTCGGCTTTTGCGACAAAAACATAGTAAATTTATTAAATGCCCGTACATAGTTGTAAAGTATATCTGACCAGTCCATGAATAAAGTTTTTATATACTTAAAACTACTTACCAGAGTACGAAAACAGAGGATGATCATCAGAATGATTGTGGAATTTGGACCACAGGCAGAGCGTAAACTCTTTTAAATCTCTGAGGTCGCTGGCGTACTCCAAGTACTGGTAGTCCAGCTCTTGATTCATGGAGACCTTGTATGCACTGCACGTTTCTTGCTCGAGAGCTGGCGCCACATTGATAAGGCCGCTCGGTTTTACAAAGTACTTGTGTGGTGGTCTTCGATTTAGTATTTTTAAGGAAGAGCTAGAAAAAAATATTTATTTAAGTTACTGGAATAATAAGCTGAAAGTCTACTTGATTGTATAGGTCAACTATTGCCTATATACATCAATGGTAGAAGGTCATCACGCTTTTATGTGATGCCCGTAAGACTGGGGTATCATGCGTTACCACTTAGAAGAACTGATGTAACGTTTGTTTTGATTACAATACTTAATATACATAACAAAAGTAAATTAGTAAAGCAGTTGCTGCAACTGCAAATATTTATTAGTTTATGCATATTCTTAGAATTGTTAATTGAAATCTTATCGTATATATGAGTTATTAGAAATTTCATTTATGTAACGTAGCGAGTAGGCGATCACGTGCACTTTTTCTTACGTGCACGATTCTTAACCACTAGTTAAGAAACCTTATGTTCTATTCGATAAACTTTAAGCTGAAGTCGTATTATAATGATACTTTTGTGATATTCATAAGTCAACAATAACTTACCGACTTTCTATTGACCTTTCCGGAGATTTTACATATGTAGAATAAGCTATCGAAGATTCTGGAACTATTGGCTGCCAGTCATTTTCTCGGGCCAAAGTCGCCCCCAAAAAGGCACATAGCAGAAGTATCCGCATTTTCTAGAACAAAAATAACAATTAACAGTTAGACAGTTTTAAATTATCTCTACTATATATATATATGTTACTAAGCTTTACATAAAATTAGGCGAAAGCTTCAAACAGTTGAAGTGATACAGTGAGTACGGTTGGCTGTGATTTTGTGCTTTCCAGTAGTAGTCCTGGTGAATGTATATATTATATAATACGTAGAAAAGGCTAAGAAAGTGGGTAGACAGATTTATCTGCTCTTAATAATTTGCATCCACCGTAAATTCATCTACAGTAAAGCGGTGTGCTGACCGTTAGACCACCGAGGCCGTCAACTATAGAATACATTAATCCCCATATGCATAACAGACTATCGACGTCCTATAAGCCTATTATACTGGTGAACTATTATGATCTTAATTTTGCAATGTTTACTGCACTACTATAGTAGCTATAGGATCACACTGTGTAAAATTTTTAAAAAGGTTAGTCTTTTGTACCATTTTTAAGAATGAAATATTATAAGAAACATTCACGCATGTCAAACTCGTATACCGAATATTGACCATTTCTATCTAAATATTAGAATGTAAATGCGAAATAAGCCCCAACATGACATCATAACCTTCGCGGTTGAAAGCGAAATTCAAGTAGCAAGTTCAAACGTAACATAAAAAAACTTCTATGATAATACATCTGATATTAATTTACGCTAGAGCAATTTAGTATTATCTAATATTGAATCAGACAGGTCGTTTTAGGAGTCCTACAAACAGTTGGCGAGTATTCAATACTGTTGTATGTAGGATAATGGTAGTTACGATTTAGCTTTATTTATTAGTCTACTGTAATATTTATATATTATAGTAGACTTTGAACTCAGTTGTCTCATCTATGTCATCGTCCATACAGCATGTTCTGTAAGCTGGATTTAGGTTAAGGGGCTAGGGTAACTCAGTAATAAATACTGTACGTAGGGTAGTAGCAGTCACGAATTGGCTTTATTTATTACAGTAAACTTTGAGCAAAGTAGTCTCATCTACGTCACCTGTATTAGCTGTATTTAGGTTAAAGGGCGATGATAAGATAGTAATGTTACAGGTTATGGAAGCATGATATTTCACTCCTGGTAAAGCACATTGGGACGTATGTCGTGGTGCTGTTCACGTATATAGACGATACCACTTACCATCAGGTGTACCGTCATATTGCATCCCAATATAAAAAATACTAGCTGAACCCAGAAAACGTTGTTTTGCCAAATAAATTAAAATCGCTATAACAAAATATGGTTTGATGGTAAAAGGGTTAAATTTAGGGTTGTATGTCTTTTTAATACAATATTTAAAAAAAAAGTATTGCCGAAAAATTAAATAAATCACTTGGGGGTATGGAAAATAGATAGTAGCCGATTCTCACAATCAGATCTACTGAATATGCATATAAAATTTCATCAAAATCGGTCAAGTCTTTTCGTAGAAATATGTTTACTAACATTGTGACACGAGAATTTTATAAACTAGATTTAGTTTACACGTCCAGTTATATTACACTATTATAATTATTGCTGTTGTAGTAAAAAAATAGATTCGCGTTATTTATCAAAAATAGTCTAATATGCCTAATAATATACCTATATATTTTAAAGTAACCGGTAATTCCTTAATCACTGCAAATAGCACGCACAAAAATGAAAGTTCTATGATAAGTTTCTATAATATATTATATTGTATAATATTACGGTGGTGTTTATATAATTAAGAGATTAAAGTTTCTGTATAGATATATGTTAATTTCAACCATGGTTCTTGACTATAGGTTAGTTATAACCAGTTTTCCTATTATAACTAAATGTATATATATAAAACTATAAACCGGTTCTTGTGCGAATATACCTCATTATTAATAGATGACATAGTAGCTTTTTATTGGCCATAGAAAAGTAAAATAATCGGAAGTAATTAAAGTTGACCCAATAACATAAATCCATACTTTTTACACGATACCTGATTACTAGTTTGAATTCCAAATTTAAAATCTAACAGTACAAATTTTTAACTACTTTAACAGAATAATTTACATAATAAATATAAAGTAACGTAACTATACTTAGTTTAATTAACTCATGACTATAAATCAGACTTTATCTGTATAAAATATTACTCTGTATGTTGTCTGTATTGTGTAACAGTATCCACAGTTCAATATATATTTATTCGTCCAAAGTAGTTGTCCGTCTGCTGTCACCCTAAATATTTGCAAAGATAAACAGTAGGATAGGTAATCGCTAAGTCTCTGATTAATTACATTCCACGTTGTTCATTAACAGAACGGCGATTGCCCTACTCCTTATTTAATTATCTGGCACTTATTTAATTACTATTTTAATTATAATTTAAATCAAGTCAAATTCCCTTTATTTATGATGCCATAATATCATGACTAACCTACTACTATGTTTATTGTACTCTAACGGGTAGTACAGTCAGCATCAAAATTCATAGACTACTTTTAATTTGTGGTTGTTACTAAATGTGATTACAGAAGTAATTGTACAGATTATTATTTCTGACTCATATTTATTTTTACACTAATGTTTAACTATGTTCCTATGGGAATTCTTTCGACTCCATCTATTAATATTATTGTCTTAGGTAAACAGTCTTAAACTGTCTTAGGTCAACAACCTTGGGTTCTAATTCTTAAAACTTTGTTAATAACAAATAATAATATTGGGATTTAAATTAATCAATGAATAAATAGATAAAATATTCATTTATGATTTTCCACGAATAACTTGTGTATAATATTTTTTAATAACTCAAATACTTATACAATAATTATATAAATATTTGAGTTAATAAAAAAATTATTACGCATTAAATATTGAACGTCGATTTGTTTTAAAATATAGATATTTTAATACAAAGGTATGTTAATGTGGTTTTACTTTGTTGTAATATTAAATAAGCGGATTACCGTTTTATTTAAGTAGTTTCATATGTAATCAGCAATATTATATAGTAATTTCGCATGTTTTCAAATATCACAAACCGATTACGTATGAGTGTAATGTAATATAGTGTGAAAGGAAAGTGGTCTTAGGTAAGAAATTCTTCCGTGCGTACTGGTAATGTTAATGTCTTTAACACAATCTGTCAAATTGTGTCAATTGATTTGAAACTTTACTTATTAATTGTTAGAGCTTAATATTTAATAGCATGTGTTATTAATGATGTTGTGTGATGCCATCACAAAAAATGAACCTGCATACCGATTCCGGAAAGTGTTCGCTTGACTCGTTGTCAGGTCTCGACCGCACTAACATAAAGTTAGTTTCCTGTTTATTCAAGAGGCTCGTTTTCTCCTTTTCTATGTTAATTATGTTACTTTTTAACGTCATTATCATGACACTATGAAGAAACTAGGAATTTCTCAAGATTCGATTATTTATTTAGTCTATTGCCAAAAGTGCACCTATTTTTCCTAGCGTCTAGTATTTGTTCAGTCTACTTTGGTTATTAATTTTATATTATTATTTATTTATTAATGTTTGTCTGTTAAATAAAATAATTATTTATTTCTAGTAGTATGGTAGTCGTCGTATTACAAAACACATCTCAAATATTATGTAAGAGGCTATCTTAATGTATATAATATTATAAACGCGAAAGTTTGTAAGTATGCATGTTTGTTACTCTTTCACGCAAAAACTACTGAACGGATTTTGATGAAACTACAGTTATATAGCTCATGCATGAGTATAAAATAGAGGTTACATTTTTTATTGTAATGTAACGGGGGTGAAATCGCAGGTACAGCTAGTAAATTATTATATTTATATACAGTCACGATTGTTATTCAAGATGAGATAGCCAGAAGCATTGGTATTTTGTTGATGTCATAGTGCGAAATATGGACATGTCAATTATTGGACTCAATATTTATTATCTTATTCTATTTAATAGTTGATCTAAATAGTAATACTTAAACATATACATTTTAGCAAGAAAATAGAGATAATATATACACATATAAGAAAATAGGACTTCTGGCCATAGTAATAAATGGGTTACAAAACATAGATATAAGATATAACTATGTAACAGTTTTAATGTTATTGATATAAATACGTCTGCAACTTTTTTGATGTCATAAAATATTACAGTTGTATTTCTAATTAGGAAAAATCATTGTATATATTATAATGTATAGTAGTCAATACACAACTATACATTTTGTTTATTTTTTATAAACATATATGATTTTGCGGTTGGGTAAACATATTAATAAGTTCAATGTTTTGTTTATCTCTTCAGACAGTATTATTTTCTTATCGAGTAGAAGATACGTGTGATACATACAATATGAAAAAGATAGCATAGTTCAAGAAAGGATTAACTTGTATCCACGTAAGCTACTTCAGACAGTTCGAGGCTTTACGTTGTGATCAGAAACTGTTGAGGCAAAAATGAGTAATGATTTTGTAAGAATTCAATATATCATTATGTATAAAATACATTATATATTGAACATTACATATGAACAGTCAATTTATAATAAAAAGACGATATTACACAGATTGACGGATTATGCAAATTTTTTAATCAATTTTTTGACATTGTTGTAGCAGTTGCATGTTGATTAATCGATATAGTGAACTAGCGCACCGCGACTTCGTCCGTATGACGAATTTCCATACATATTTTCATCCCCTATTTTGTTTTACCCTCTACAGAGATTTTTTTTAGAAAGTTGCATTTAAATGAATATGCTATTCACATATTCATTTAAATGCAAATGAATATGCTATTCAAACTTTCTAAAAAAAATCTCAAAAAAATATCAGCAGCCGAATAAGTTTCAAGCCGCTTGCCTTAAAAATGCGATCTTCCCTTTTTTACTTCCTACAACCCTTTTTTCGTATTAGAAAGTAACCTATGTCCTTTCTCAGGGTCTAGAGTATTTGTGTACCAAATTTTTATCGGTTATTTAAATCGGTTCAGTAGTATAGGCGTAAAAGCGTGACA